GTCAGCTGCTTCATCAGAATAAAGCTGCAGAACTGGAACAGCTGTGTTGAGATGACAGTAGGACGTGGTTTCACTGCCTGTAAATACATCATCGTTAAAGTTTGAATAAAGCTTTGTTTCATGTGTTGTCGACTTTGTTGTTGATTTTCATGGTTACTTTTATTCATTCTTTTACTCACATTCATGTTTATTGTTGTTGTCAGTACATAAAATATAATTGTTTCATTAACTTGTGCATTAATTACTTGACTGAAAATTTAGATGTATTCACCTTGGCTGCATTTGTCTAGTGTGTATTCATGCATAGCCATGGCATATGACAAAACAAATTACATTTTGCTTGTTTTACTAAAATTATATATTTAATTAATAAATTTTTGGTCAGCATTTATCATTATTGTAAGTGTTGGGGTGGGCTAGCAATGCATTTTGGGGTAATCTTATTTTTTAAGTAGTAATACTTACATTTTTTGAGTATAATATCAGCAGTCTTCTCCAAGGCGAGAGCTTCAAGCAGCTGCCCGACGTATTTACAAAAACTCCTTTGTGCAGACATTGCAAACGCTGCAGAAAACTGTACTAGGTAGGGTTGTGGAGTTACTGATGCTATGAGGTGTTAGTGCACCTCTCTTATCTTCTTTTTATTATTATCACTGCAGAACTTTTAATTACTTACAAGCTCAGGGAAAAATTTTTGTATCTTTAACAACGAACAATCATAATATTAAACATAATTACAATGGGTTTGCATACATCATTGTATGAGAATATAAACACAGAAAAAAAGGCAAAATTAAAAGGGTAAATATCTGAGTATAAAAACTTAAATCAACCCAAAATGTATTGGTTATACTGCAATCACAATAAAAAGGCAGCTGTTTCTCCAACAAGACCACAAAATGAAGAAATTTCATCAACATCAAAATATTTACAGATAGAGGTATTAAACCTGTCGCTCGTATCTTTTCAGTTGTTGCGGTTGTAACGTCTTAAGTCACGTGATAACGTCAACATGGCGGATGATGTATGGATCGCATTCATAGGCCCTGTCCCAAATGGAACACTTCATGTGCACTTTCGGTCTTGCAGACTTACAATGGCTGCCGCGTGCGCGTGTCCGTTTAGTCCACGAGACCGTAGGGTGTCCCATTCGTCATTTTAGCGTTCAAAAGGGTGCTTGTGAGCGCCCCCTTTGCGGCCGTTATGCGCCCTCAATCCGCACTTCTGCCGAGCCCACACTGGGGCAAGCTCCACAGGAGACTTCTACCCGACAGTCAAAGCGGCATTACGTCACGAAAGTGCGGACTCAGAGGAAGACCGTGAGGGTTTAGGGTGCCATTTGGGACAGGGCCATACTCAACGAGATTTGGCTGTAGAGTACGTACTCTTTTAGTGCTTGTTAAGTAAGTACTTATTGAAATTAAGTACCTACTCATTGAGTATGCGGTTTCGAACGCAGCCTCTGACTCTTGCCTTGTCCAAATACCCGCACTTGCGGTCTTGGCCACCTGAGAGCGCGTGCGCGCGACAGGAAGTAAGTGCGCAAGACTGTCCCAGGTCGTAAAAACGCCAAAGCGCAGTGCCCTTAACGCACACTAAACACTATCTCGAATACCGCTCCGGAGCAGTATTGAGGCTTAGTGTATCCCATCATGCATCATGTTCTGGAAATAAATC